TTTTCCAACTTGTTTAATGAAATAATAAAATAATTTTTGATTTACAAATAAAAATTAAATAAAATATTTCTATACAATTTAATCTTATAATTAAATAAAATTAACTTATTCCAATTTGAATTGGATATAATAAAGACCTTATTAGTTAAACAGCGAATGATAATACGCTATGATAAGTTTTGGGGCAAAACGTATGAATGAACAAGCTGTAACTTTTGAACATGTGAACTGGATACTATAAAGTCTCTCAAGGTGCTCTTCGCTATGTACATTTCACTAACTAAATATTAGTTGATCCCAACATTAATTTTTCCAATAAAATAATTTCCCACCACGAATTTAGTTAAACCGGGTAACTAATAGTCCAATCAGGGGTACAATAAAGATATTAACTATTACTAAAGTCACTGACTATAACATCATCACGTGAGTAACGTGAACTGAACCACCACAGCACCGGGAATGTTTTTCAGCAAATTATTAAATGTACAAATTTACAAAAAACATCTTTAAAGTTCCTTTTTCTTAATTACTTGCCAAACATCATAATCTAAGACCGTAAAGCTAGAGGATTTTTGTAATTTCACAAAATTTTTAAAGTCCGTATAATTACTTTTACTATTACCTTTTGCTAACCATTTTTTAAAAGTAGGTTTAGAATCAAAATAATAATAATAATTTTTAGAACCAAAAATTGGACCTGTGTCTGTACAATAACCCGCAGCAAAACAACTTTTTTTAACTCGAGAGATTTTTGAAGTAGTAATATCATTTTCGTTATCAAATAAAAATAAAAAATTTCTATTTGATTTTGAATAAGTATGATATTGATTTTTTTTGTGACCATAAGATTTCCAACTTAAATTATTATAACCACCAAATAAACATATTTCTGAATCATTTATACGTAATTTGGCTATTGTTATTGTTGGACCTTTATTATCACATAATTTATGAAATTCTTCAGGTCCACCTCTCTTTGAACAATATAAAGGAATGAATTCGTAAGGATTATTATTAGAATTATAATATAAAGTATCCTTTAATTTTGATTTTCTTCCGGATGTATTACTTGATTGAAATAGTGCAGATAAGAAGCTTTGATCAGTTTTTTCCAAATCTTTTTTATCAATCCAACTAGCGATTATATTAAATTGTTCAGATCTAATAAGAGGCATATGATCTAATTTATATCTTGGTGGTAAAATAGTAATTTCTTTAGGTAAAGAGCTAGGATCGAGATGATAATTTAAAATATTATGATATAATTCAGATGATAAAATATTTTCAAAAAATGAAAAATTTTGTCTAAATTCTTTTCCTGATATTTGAAACCAACGAATTAAAGGAATACATTCATCAATAATATTCTTTAATATACCATATTCTTCATCTTTCCAAGTTTTCATATCATCGTTTTGAAGAGTTAATTGATTTTTTGCAATGGCAATACCCCATTTTACTAAATAATTCCAAATATCTATTTCATTTAATTTTCCTAAATCATCACGTTGTAATATAAGTGAGAGAATTGATTGATCTAATAGAACAAATTTGTGATGTTCAAATAAAGAATCAGGAGAAGAGCATATAAACTGAAGACACATATTTCGTAATGATTTACAGGCATCATATTGAAAAACTATTTTCAATACATCAACCGAATCATGTTTCATGAATCCTTCAAGATCTTGATGCATAAAAAAGATTATTTTATCAATAAAATCTTTAAGATTCAATTCACTGACCGCTACGAAAAACCGTAAGACTTCTAAGTCATCCAAAATAATTTTAGCTGTATATACATATCTTTTAATAGATAAAATACGGTATAGTGGTATAGGTAATTAGTAAAAAAATTTTTACAAAATTGGTTTAAAGTAAATTATAAAATAATAATAATTAAAAAAAACGAGAATAAAATAGGTAGATACCTTAAAATATTTTCAAAAGTTCTTGCGGAAATATCTTCAAAAATAAGGATTGTATATTTTCCATTATTTTCAACTTGATGATTAGAAGAGGCGTCAAAAAAATCAGGAGAACGAGCATTTAAAATAAGGGAATGAGCATGAAACTCTTTCAAGTTTAGTCCTTTACCAACTCGAATGATAACATCATAATTGACTCTTTCTTTAAGTAACTTTTCGTTAATATTAGCAAGATCTACGTATGAAGCCTCTTCGAATTTTTTAAAATCTTGACTACTAGGCTTAATTCTTGGTTTCAATATTATTGTCTTCGCAGGTGGAGTAGTAGAATCAAGATAATAAGCCAAGATATCTTGATATAATTCTTTCGATAAAACATTTTGAAAGAATGTTCTATTATTCCAAAATTCAGCGGAAGAAATGATATTCCAACGAATTAAAGGAATACAATCTTGAATAATATTCTTTAATAAGGAATAATCATTTTCATCCAAAGTTTTTAAGTCTTTATTTTGAAGAGCAGGATCTTGAGCGATGCCCCATTTAATTAAGTTATTCCAAATCTCCATTTCTTTTAATTTACCCAGATCATCACGTTGTAATATAGGAATTAAAATGGATTTATCTAAAAGAGTAAATCTTGGGTGCTCAAATAATATTTTGGGATGAGAACATATATGATAAAAGCAAGCATCACGAAGTGATTTACAAGCATTATAATTAAAAACAAATTGCAATATGCTGATTGCATCGTTCTTCATAAATTCTTCTAACTTTTCATGTATAAAAGGTAGTAGCCTATCAATAAAATCTTGAAGAAGTAATTTATCAGCGGCAACCAAAAGTTTTAAAGTTTCAAGAGCGCTCAAGTTATTTAGAACAATTTCAGTAGTATATATATATCTTTTAATTTAATAAAATTAATTCAAAAAAAATATAGTTTTAATAAAAATAATTTAATATACAAAAATAGTTTTTGATTAAAGAGAAAAAAAAACTTTTAGGAAGAAGAGAAATTAATGAATCTTTACCTTAAAATAATTTCAAATAAATTTGGCAGAATATTTGGTACTATAGAAACGAAGCAATCGCCTTCTTTTTTAGCCCAATTATCAGAAAAAGCGGCTTTGAAATAAGTAGAACGAGCGTTTAAAATAAGTGAATGTGCTCGAAACTCTTTCATGTTTTGTCCTTCACCAGCACGAATAATAACGTCGGAACTGTGTCCATTTTGAAGTAACTTTTCGTAATCACGGGCGAGATCTTGGGGAAAGTCCAACTTCATTATTTTTTAATATTTAAATGTCTATCTCAGAATCAACGTTTAGATATTTATTGGCACTCATCCAGTGGACATTATTTCAATATGCAATAATAAGTACGTACGTACCGGAAGATATATGTAAAAAGAAAGTATGCAATGTTTTTTTTTTTTTAAAAAAAAAAGGTACACAGATGTAACAATTCTAATTTTAAATGAGAAAATTCTGCATGCTACGTTTGTGTTACACGAGAAATGATATATATATCTGTAATTTAAGTATCGTTAAACTCTTTATTTGACGCACTAGGTAAGAGATGGGCAAGATGCATTTATTCTGCAACAGTATGTACGTAGTCAGTAGTTTCCATCTACTCCGATACAAATAACTTTGTATTATATTGTAAATATGGCTTTTTTTTTCCTACAAATATCATGTGTAAAGCATAAAGTTTGGTTTAAGTTTAATGATTGATTACAATGTTTGCATGATCGGACACTTTTTTCCGGTAAGAACATTTTATTCTTTCTATTTTTAATAATTTATAGAAATTTATTTTATTTTATTTTTTCTATAAAGAGGAATGAAAGAATCGATTACATTGAATTCTTTATATATGCAACCTCCTTAAATGCACGCATATGTTTCTTTTCTTTAAAAGTAGTTTTCTTTAAAAGTAATTTTCTCTAAATGTATATTAATATATATAGCTCCCGTAACAATGACTCAAGAATTTTTTGTCTTAAAAAATTTAATCTTTCCTAAAATACCATTACACTTTGTCTTTTTTTTTCTATGTCTCTAGACGAGTTGTATTTACTTACATACGTTCTCACAAATGTAAATTCTAAATTACAATCGACCATTTCTATTATCGGCCTTAATGTTTTTTGTCTTTGAAAAACGGTTGAATTGAAATTTAAGTTTACGAAAGTCGAAGGTCATACACTTATAAAACTAAAAATTTTCATAAGAAGCCTTAAAGGATGTTTACTTTGTTAAATTGTGGGTAATATGACTTTCGGAATCGGAATTATGGGTATTAGTGACAAATAATTTTTTTTTTTCTTTATCATCATTGTTTATTATTCTTTGAGTGAGTCATGCTATGTAAGTTGGCACAATTTGTGATACGTACGTACGTACAATATCTTTTATTGACCGTAAAAGGACAACTATGTTAATCATTCTTCGGAGTTGACTTCGGAGTTGACTTCGGAGTTAAGGCTTCGGAATTAAAACTAGGTTTACTATTAAAGGTTTTTTCTCTAGAGAATAGTTCATCCAAAGGGGTTGAGCATGTGGAGATAGTACGTACAGTACATACGTACACACGTATGTACTGTACGTAAGATTTTGCAGGATCTGTGGTGGCTTGCATTATGCTAACTGGCCCGAATTATGACGATCATATTGGTAGCAGGTAAAGAAGCGTACAGTTCTTCATACCAATTCACGCATGCACGTGTTATCTTCATGTGACATTTCAATAACCTCATACTTTAACTTCTGTCATCATTTTTAATATACTGAGATAAGAAAAAGAAAAATAGGAGTGCAGCTGATGTTCTACCCATATTTCTGTATTTGTATTTATTAAAATTAAATAACTTATTATAAAAATATAAAAATAGCGTAAATAAAGTTGAAACAAAAAAAAAAAAAAAAAAGGCTTTGTTTGATTTTTAATATTATACCTTTTTTTTTGTTCTTTGAATTTGTTACAGCTGCTCGCAAAATTCTGAAACTGATAAAAGATGACTAATTATCATCCAGCCGAATCTATAAGTTCAAGTACTATCAGTAACTTATCGGTTCGGCTCATAATTATTATCTGTTGTCCAAAACAGTTGTGCGCCGTGAAAGTTACGACGGTATTATTATCGGCCGATGCCAACAAACACTTATCTAGATTTCATTATCTTTTATGAAACCAAAATTTGGATAATACCAAAAACAGTAATGCACATTTTTGACTGTACCATTCCGTTCCGGAACATTCCGTTAGTGCTCCAATTTTCAGCTTATAAAGTTATATCAAAAAACGATAAAATTTGCCAATAGTGCAATGTTAAATTTTTAGCATAACTATTGTCAATTTTTTAAAATCTCTATTTTCCAACTGATCTCATGTACAGCTGCCAAGAAAGTATATACGTACGTACTTGTTATTTGACATGCCAGACTTCTTTAGGGATGAGTGAAAGTTTATATATTGTATTAGGACAGGCTGAATACTTTAAAAAAATCGTTTGACGTTCACGTGGGACATGTACTATTTTGTGAGAAAATAACGAGTTCAAACAGGTGTTTACAACGCCATTACGTTGCACGTGTCATTCCGTTCAGGCCATATTACCTTTACTGTGTTTATTGCTTTTCACAGTATTATATAATCAATAAACGCTATGTAACACAAGTCGTATGCATTACCGTATTTCCGTGTAATAACGGGCTGGAGCATTATTTTGAGCCATGGCCCAAATTAAGCTTAATTTAGGCTGAAATTCGAAATTAACCCCGCGCGTTATTACGCGCAAATACGGTACTGTAAATGAATGCGTCTATTCAACTTATCGTGTTTATCTATGCGATTTAAAGACATGTTAAAGTCTTTTATTACGAATCGTTCGCCAATTGTGATAACTTGCGTTATCTAAAACGATGAATAATTTAATGGTCACTAAGTGAAAAATCTCTTTTAATTAAAATAATTTAGCTATGAACCTGATTTTTCATCGCAATTAATATTTACGAAATATTATTATATCTACTGATGATATTAAATCATCCTAATTGTTTAATTTGGACAGATGTTTTTCTAATATACTACATATATTTGTTTTTTGAACATAAGATAATAGCTTGAGAACACTTACATCTATTACACAGGTCTCATAAGAATAGTACTTGGATCTGAAATTTCAAACATTGATAATTACATGTGTAGAAGTAAAATCACTAAATTCTATAATAATTAAAATCATTGCTTATATACTATTTGATATATACTATTCAAATATTATTGAGAATAATAGAATAAGCAACATACATCGGTGCAATTTTGCATAAGCTAAGGCAGATTATGCTTTCAGGAATTCTCCGCTAAAAATTAAAGTTTTTCTTATAAATACATGTACCCAGTGTTGTAATCATGGGAGAGACTTGGCTAACGTGAGGTCAAATTAGCTCAGGGTTACAAGCATAGGTTATGAGAGATGAATGTTCATAAAGAATTCGAATTTAATGATAGCAGTTTGTAGATAAGATCAAAATACGTTATTTATTATGCATCGAACAAAGCTCTCTTCTCTTAATAGTTTAGGCGTCATATTTATGATCATGGCCTGAAGCCAAAATCTGTGATCTCGAACCAAGATCCATGGCCCTAAACCAAGATTAGTGATCACGAACCTATATCTGTGATTCACAACCGTTCCATATCAATAGCATTAATAAACATTGTAAGAAATACCAACACAATATAGAAATACAACAAATAAAATTTAAACTCTAAATTTTCGTAACACCAGACGGATAAAACGCCCTAAAAAGGACCTTTTTGGTTAATCGCTAAACGACTATTTGGTTATCATTTTAATACGTAGCTACTTTAATACCGTTAAATTACAAATATATAAAAAAAAATTAATTTTAGCAAAGATAAAAAAAGATTCTGCTCGGGGACTTTTCATCCACCCAGTATAAAGTACTATTTAGTATTTCATATTGTCAACAATAAAATAAATAATTATAAACATAAGTAAAAAATACTTTAATATAGTAATAAGTCATTTTTACAAATAATTTAAGATTCATCAAATTAAAGTTAAAAAATTTTTAATAACAATGACATTAAATCAAACTGATTTAATCGTAAACCTGTAGCTGTACGTATTATCTTCACTCGACTCAATGTTCATTAGAATCTACGCTATTATTATTATTCTCATCAGATTTTGTGTCATTAGCATTATTACTAAATTCTATACAAGAAATATCATCACTAGGCTTTAAACACTCAATGTCATTATTAGTTTCTTCGCTATGAACAACCTTAGGTCCTATAGAATCTATATTACAAATATTTTCACTAAATTCTTCACTATAAATATTGTCACTAGATTTTATGTTATGAATACCACACTATATTCTAGACTACGAATCTTATCGTTATATTCAATAAGAAAATTACGTATAAGATATTATCGTGCATAATATGATCATTTTAACTTTGCGCCATGATATTTTAAAGAAACACTTTTACTTTAAAGAACGTTTCTATTTCAGTCTTTTTTTTTTTTAAATAAAAGACTTTCGTTCTATTTCATTATAACAATTCGAAAGATTTTTTTTCCCTGTGCTAAACTTAGATTGCAAACTAGCATTGTATTTTTTTTTTTTTTTTTTAAACTTTTTTTTTTTTTCGCTTGTTTGCTGTGTCATCGTTGAAATGCCAAAGATTAAAAAGGTATACTTTATTATATAATACTTATTACTTATGCTTACCTATATTAATATAAAACTCTATTTAGAATTTTAAGTATTCTGAACCTACAAAGGATGATCTCAAATGATTAAAAGATAGTGGAAGAGTTAAAGCTACACATGATGCAATGAAAGTATGGGTTAGTGCATTAGAAAGGTTCTAAACAGATGTGGGGTACCAAGATAAAATTGAAGACATTACATACAAAAATGTTCTTGAAGAACAATTGTCTAAATTTATTTATGCTATAAAAAAACAAGATGGGACTGATTATCAAGTATCATCAATCAGAAATTGTGCAGCAGCCTTATGGAGATATTTAAATGAAAAATCAGTACTTCCAAAACCTGTAGACTTACTTATTCTGAAAGTATTTCATGAATTTAATGCTACCCTAAATGGGAAGTTGAAAAGTTTGGCCACACAAGGATTTGGAGAAAGGAATAGTGCATCAGCACTAACATTGGAAGAAGTTGAGACTATACTTTTACATCCAACAATGCAAAAAAATACACCTGAAGGATTTTTGAGAAGGGTATTTTTTTATAATTCAATTCTTTTAGCATTGCATGGTGGAGAGCATAATGAACTTTTATTAGATAACTTTATCAAACGATATGATGGTGGAATAGATGTTAAACTATTCAAATCAAAAACAAATCAATGAGGAATTAGTAATCCAGGTGCACAGGGTGAAACTATTAGTTTACCTAATATTAAAGATGTAATCGATGATTATGAGCTTTATTTATCTAAAAGACCTTCATTTGCACCTAAAAAATTTTATTTAAAGCTGTGCCAAGAAGAATGTAGTAAGTATTATATTTATTAATTTAAACAAATTTATTTATATTAATACTTATCTTTTTTTATTAGCTACTTTTAATGGTCAATGGTTTTATGCTCGTTCATATTCTGAAAGAAGTTTTAAAAGTCTTTTTAGATCAATATATGAAAATGTGGGAATTAAAATAGGTAATCAAAATATATCGAACCATTCAGGTCATAAAACAGCTGTTCAGGTTCTTAAAGAATTAGGATATAGCGATTCTATTGTTATGTCTATTACAAGACATAAAACTTAACAAGGGCTTTACTCATATGAGTGATTTAAATCAATATTGCAACATAAAGGTTTAAACGGATTTCTTAATGCATTAGAGATCGTTGGAAATCAAATAATTTAATTGGTAAATTTTATTATGAGATTTTTTTTTTTATTGTCTTATTTATATTTATTTTATAGAAAACAATGTTTTATATCAAAATGCGAACAAGCAAGAGACCATATTTGATAAGAGTTCTTTGGAGTTTTAAGACACAAATAATATTGACTTTGAAAATTCATTTTATTTAGCGAAAGAATTATTAGGTATACTTTTATTATTTGTTTTGTTAATTTACTGTATAGTTATTTATATTATGATCAATTATTTTTTAGAATCAAATAAAAATAATAAAACTAGCACTTTATATGAAAATTGAAGTCTTTCAGTCTCTAATGTTCTTCAAGAATTGACGATTCAAACTTCTGATCAAACCATATCAAGCACAATTAATATTTAGGAAGAAAAATCAAGATCCAAAATTTTGCATAAGCTTTTTAAAGGAAATACATTTAATAATTGTACTTTTAATTTCTAGTTATGATTATAATCAGTAATCTCAATTAAATAAATATTAAATCAATATTTGCCCGATTGTAATTTATACACTTTATATCTTGTTTATATCATTTTGTATAGAAATATTTTATTTAATTTTTATTTGTAAATCAAAAATTATTTTATTATTTCATTAAACAAGTTGGAAAA